AATCTAAGGTTGAATAAACCGACGAGCAAGTTTTTGGCGCCGCTGCCGGGGATAGCACGTTAAAGTTTTTCTTTTAAAGTAAAGTTCATAAAAGCTAATTTTTCTACCACCTGCTACTATTATGGAGAACATCATTCATATTGCAGATTCTCGGGATAGAGGAATCATGGACTATGYTATTCCTGTTTTTAGTCAATTAAATTCAGGAATAGTAAGGCCACACATTAAGGAAACTCACTTTGAGCTCACACCTGTCATGTTTCAGATGTTGCAGACTAATGGCCAGTTCAGTGGTTTGCCATCTGAAGACCCTCATTTACATTTAAAATCTTTAACATAAATAACTGATTGTTTTCTTATCCCTGGAGTGTCTGATGATACCTTAAGGCTGAAGTTATTTCCATTTTCTCTTAAGGATAGAGTAAAATTATGGTTTAACTCTTTACAACCAAATTCCATAATCTCTTGGAATAATATTGTAAATAAATTTTTGAAAAAATATTTTCCTTCCAACAGGAACGCTGAATCCAGAAATGAAATATGTTTGTTTAGACAAATGGATAATAAAGCAATACCTGATGCTTGGGAAAGGTACAAGGAGTTGTTGAGAAAATGCCCTTACCATGACATTCCTTATTGTATCCAGCTAGAGACGTTTTACAATGGTTTAACAACTGTTGCTAARCAAATGCTTGATGCTAGTGCAGGAGGAGCTTTCACAACTWGTACTTATAATGATGGGTATGACATGCTTGAGAAAATTTCAAATAATAATGGATATTGGGCTGATCCACATGCATTAATACAGAATAATACAGTTGGGATATATGAAACAGACGCATATAATGCATTTACAACACAACTCAATATTTATTTTCTTTTTTAAATTTATATTTCATTCAAAAAATAAAAATATTATCTTTTTCTAAAAACCACATAAAACCGTATTATACCGACAGAGAAAAAGAATAAAACGAAACATTAATATTAAGATATTTCGCTGCATTGCATGAGTACCCTTCTAGTCTTTATAAAATTTATAATATTAAACCAAAAATAAATTATTT